CCTGCTGAGTGGGTCACATCATTATGTATCAAGTAGCTATTATGTGAAAGGAGCTTGGCAGGAAAGCCAAAACGCATCGCTTCATGCGTGGGCTTGATAACAGTTAAATTATGAATGGATCTTACTGCTTCTGAAAAAAAAAAAAAAAGGAAAAAATGAAAGCAATATGAAGCCATGAATATTTATCTGACTAGTAGAAGTTAAGGTTCTATTTCCAACTTTCTCCTCGGACATACTGGTATATATATTTTCTTAAGTCCAATAAGGATCTCTGACGTTTCTCCTGTTCTGATGGATTTGGAAATATTATTTTAATAGCGTGCACCAGGAAGGTCATTAAACTAGCAGACTTAAAATGAGGAATAACAATGCAAAAATAACCCCGCACCCTGTGCACCAGAGGCCATCAATACCAACAGGGAGGGGATTGGTGGAGAAGAGGCAGTATGACATTGTGGTTTGGAGGGCTCTAGAATGTAATGGGATTGTATCCTGATCACTCACTATCTCTGTGATTTCAGCCAGTTTAGCCTCTGGGACTCAGTTTCTTTATTATCAAATTATTATTTATAGTAAAAATGATATCCCTTAAAATATAAAGAATTTAACATCCTGTCCCTTTGTAAAAAATGAATCTCTATTGTTGAAAGTCTTACAGAGGTCTCCTCTCTGTTCCCCCGTGACCACCTTCTACCCCTCACACCCTCCTAGGCCTTCACCACACCATTATCCGTGCCCATGGGTTATGCATATATGCATACAAGTTCTTTGGTTAAGCGCTTCGTGCCCCGTGCCCCATCCCCCTTCCTTTTGAGATTTGTCAGTGTGTTCTATGTCTCTGGATCTATTTTGTTCACTAGAGTTTAACATCCTCTCCGTTTTAAGGTGTGTGGATTATCATGCAAGCATTTACTGTAGTGATTGGCATTTAAAAAGTACATAAAAATACAATGACTATTTTTTTCTTTCTTGACTTTCCCATGATGTGTTTGCTATAAGCAGAGTGCTTCAAATCACAACTAAGTCTAAAAAAGTTTATCAAAGGATCTGTTTCCCCCATAAATATATTGTCTATACCAGGGGACCTTAAACCTTTTTGTACATGAATGTCATCTAAATATTTGCTAAATATGTAGATGCCCAGGCCTCTCACGTATATTCATAGTCACCGGGTTTGAGTTTGGGACCACTGACTCTCCCCAAAGTTCACTATCTATTGCTTTCTCCCCCCCTCTGCCTTCGACAGATTCCCCTCTCCTTTAGCTTGGACTTTATTAATTTTTCAAATAGGTTTCTCAGTGTGAGAACCAATATTAGTTACTCTTTAGTAACTGCCCCGTTATGTTCCCTTTCCCATTTCATAAACTAAAACCCATATTACACATACCCGTTTTATTCACTGAAGTAAATGTGAATCTTTAATGGCGCTTTACTAAGTACGTTTTGTTTTGCTTATGTCTGTCATAGATAACACAGCCAGCATTCTGACCAGGCGGAGGAGATTTAGTCGAACTGTTCAGGATGTGTATTATCTCCCCATTATGATCTCTGATGGTGGCATCCCCTCTCTCAGCAGCAGCAGCACCCTCACCATCAGGGTTTGTGCATGCGAGAGAGATGGGCGCGTGCGGACCTGCCATCCCGAAGCCTTCCTGTCCGCCACTGGTTTGAGTACAGGAGCCCTAATCGCTATTCTTCTGTGTGTTGTCATTCTCCTGGGTAAGTCCTTCTGAATCCTAATGCTGTATGACGGCAATTGTGAGTGAACTCTACAATGGCCAGGAGTGCACTGGACAAGAGAGAAAGATGGAGAGAAGAGAGGGATTTTGACAAAATAAAGTAATAAAGATGTATAAGGTGAATAGCAAAATGTGGCTGAACAGATTTCATTTCAATTTACTTCCTCAAGATTACTGTTAATCTAGACATAATTTGATTCAGATGTGACAAAAAAGTTGAAAGAGCAGGAAAAAGGAATGGGATATGAGAAAAATCAATTTGGAATCTATTTTAGAAACAATTAATAGTCTAAATCCCGTATTGAACAGGCTTTTATAATTAATTTCAAAGAGCAAAAGTGGCATCGTTCTAAAATTAATCTCAACACCAAATTTAAAAAATTGCTTTCTTGTAGAAACGTCTACTAGTCTAAAATAGTACTTAATTTTCTATGTTAGCTGAATTCTAAAGTTAGTCTAAATAACTTGGGCCTTAGAGATATTAAAATGTATTAAAATACAACAAAGAGGACTTTTATTTGATTAAAAGCTAAATAATTCCTCTAATTTTGTATTATTATTGTAAAAGTCTAACTTTTACGACAACCTCATTTGTGGCTGTTATTGCTACAAACTTTTTAGAATTGCTATTTAATACAAGGCAGCAAATCTAGATTTTTAAAACAAGAAAAAATAATGTAAAGGGTATTTCTGCTTTATAGTTCAAAGTAGAAATATATTTGTTTTCTCCAGTGTGTTCTCTCCCTCCTATTTTTCTCTTGGTAGCCTTAACTTTTGTTCTTTGTACTATCCATACAAAAAAAACAAAAAACAAAACAAAACAAAAAAGCAAAAGCTGTATGCTTTGGTGAACAGATATATTCTTGCAAGATATGTTTCCTGTTTTGTTTCTGGGGGGGAAGCCAAGTTACCTATACAGAAGGAGTGGAGAGCAAGGTGGGATCAGGCTGAAAAGTAGAATAGAGATTCAGGCAGGGTTGAGGCAGGTGAGGGCTTCTTGGAGATGGTAAATGTGGTGGGATTTGTTCCAGGAGTATAAATAGAGATTTAAAGTAATGAAATCTCATCATGAAGTTTGCATTTTGGGAAAAAGAAATGACTGAATGAAGCAGAGAACAGATCTCACAAAGGCAAGAGAGCCCCAGGCAAAGTGACGAGGAAGGAAATGAAGCATCTCATGCAGACATAGCAGTGTTTGGATCAGCTTACTTTGAGGGAAATGGCAAAAAGGTGGCTAATGTCAGGATTTTTAGGTGAAATCAGAAACTATCTTGGATAATATGGTGCAGGTTCCCTGATGAAAATATCAAAATTTTAACTAAAGGCCTAACCAGTTTTGCTCAGTGGACAGAGCATTGGCCTGCTGACCAAAGGGTCCCAGGTTGGATTCTGGTCAAGGGCATGTGCTGGGTTGTGGGCTAGATCCCTAGTAGGGGACGTGCAGAAAGCAGCCGATCAAAGATTCTCTCTCATTATTGATGTTTCTATCTCTCTCTCCCTCTCCCTTCCTCTCTGAAATCAATAAAAATATACTTAAAACAAATTTTAATTAAAGCCCCCAAGATTCCATTAGAAAAAGTGCAATGTTAATAATTTCATTTCTGTGACGAGAAATTAATAGTGTCCTTTTTTGAAACAACATTCCATAGTCAAAAAATAAAATAGCTGATAAGAAGTGATATTGGACAAATTTGATACGTGGCTAAGTTAGAACAGTGTCAAATGCCACCTTTTATCTCTGGCTGATATGTGATCCTGATCTTCCCTGAGCTGGTGGACTTCAGAAGCACACTTTGTTGAAGTCACTGCAGCTGGAGAATATAAAGTGATAACAGACTAGGACTGATCTGTGATAAACTCCGATGTGATCATTAGGTCAAGAAGAATGAGAGAGCAGAGGAGACCAAAGGAAAAGTCATTGAAAAAAGACTTTTAGTAAAGAATAATGTCATAAAAGTCAAAGGAAGAAATGTGTCAAAGGGAGAAGACCATTCCACAACGTCAAAAGCTGCTCAGAGGTTAGATAAATTGATTACCAAAGAGTATCAATTGCACTTAGCAACATGGGTATGGAGGTTTGGTGCACCATAACTAGAACTATATTATTGCAGTATATTCTTTTACACATGCATGGTGGAGAAGGAAATCAGGAAAATCAGACTTTCTGGAGTGTTGTTGTTATTGTTGTTAGTTTGTTTTTTATTATTTCAGACAGGGGAAGTGAGAGGGAGAGAAAGATAGAAACATCAATGATGAGAAAGAGCCATTGATTGGTTGCCTCCTGCAGGCCTCCTACTGGGGATGGAGCCCAAAACCGGGCACGTGCCCTGACCTGGAATCCAACCATGACCCCCTGGTTCATGCGTCAACCCTCATCCATTGAGCCACATCTGTTGGGCTGGAGGTTTTGTTTGTTTGTTTTAATGTATATATTGATTGGTCACAATACTGTTTTCTTTAGATAGTAACACATTACATTTTTTGTCTTTGGAAATTAAAACAAAACAAAACAAAACAAAAAAAAACAACCTCATAAACAAACCAAAAAACAGAAAATGAAACAACTACAAACATTGATCCCTTTAGAGTTTTTAACTTAAAACTACAAAGTATAGAACTTAATGACTTTAATATAAGTTCTTCCAGAGTCTTTATTCTGACAGATTGTTCAGTTGGGAGACGCATGTTACCTTTGGCTTTTGTTATCATTTATCTTCATAAAACTATTTTCCTTTACTCAGATAAGACCTTAAAAAGCAATTGAAAAATGTTAATTTTCAGGCCCATTGAAGGTGTATTATGTAAAATAACATTTTATTATTTCATGAAACAATATTCTCATTTAACTTATTTTATAAAATTTGATTTTCCCTTTGGGATAAATAAGAGACCATTTCTAAATTTTATGCTCTCCCTAAGCACTAAGGAAACCAAGATGCTATTTTTATTGGAACTCAAATGTGTTCTTATAGTTTTACCCAAAGGTTGCCTAATAATTTCTTAAGCTTGGATTTAAGCAGTCACTTATAATGTAATTTATATTTTATGAGATTTTAGGTGTAATTATTGTTTTTCAGAAGATACGAACCAACAGACTCAGAATATAGTCTTTTGTCATTTTAAAACAATGTTTGTTAAGGTGTGAGTTTATAATTTCTAAGGAAAATATTAGCAACAACAGAGGCAACAAATCTTCATGATAGGCCTTGTAATTCTGAAGTAACATTTAATCCTAAGAGCTAAATATATCATGAAATTAATATTTTAGAAATATGTCTTAACTAGTAGCCATTTGTTTGTGAAATGACCTTAATTGTATAAACCTAGACCTAGTTTTGCCATTAACTAATGGTGTGACCTTAGGGACCCATTCAGGCTCTTTCTATAATATTTCTGATTCTTTGAAAATACAGTTTCCACTGGAAGGACCTAGAGTGATCTGTAGAATTTTGTGGTGCTTATTTTTGTTTTATTATAATAACACATATTGCTATCTACATATCACGATTCAATATTTTACAGTATGTTCAGACCGCATCTATGTATATATTGATTACCACAAAAAATGGTGCTTGAAAATCAAAGGGCCTAAATGTAAATGGTAGATGTGCAGATTGTGAGTAGGGCATTGTCCTGTTAGAATTACCTTTTTCAGATCTATTTTATGGGATGGATGGGAGCGAATAAGGAGTGAGCCTTCATGGTGCAATCAACATTTGTTGCTAAAGGAAGGGTAGCTACAACCTCTTCCCCTCGTTTGAGTTGACATTTGTTTCCTATCCTCACCACACCACTTGCCTGAGCACCCGGCAGCTGGCAAAGCACACCTTAATCACACAGTACAAGAAATCACCAAAACAGGATCTGAGTCAGACCCTTGCAGTCCACACATCACATACAAGCAGGTGACTTAGATGGGTACATCAGCTAGATTGTTCCTATTCTGGGATGTCAATTTCTTGATAAATGGAGATCAGAGTAGATTTGAAAGAAAGGAACAAGGAGACAAAGGTGGGACTGATAAGGAGATAAGTGTCAACCCATTTGTCACCAGAGCTATCTTAGATGACTTTGTAGGCATCCCTTGGTTTGAAAAAAGAAGTTTCACTGAGAAGCGCCAATACGAGTTATAAATAGACAGATTGAAGAAGCTAATAAAAATAATCTCCCGAACTTGGGTCATCTCATTCTGTCAAATTTAGTATTATGATATGATCATATAAAAATAATTAAGTGATTATTTTAGAGTAAAAAAACCTGCTATTAAAAGTACTTGAGGGAAGTATGTTGGGAGTTAGTATATAAGGTATTCAAATGCAAGTTGTATGACAGTTTAGGTTAAGAAAACTCAAAAACCCTTAAAATTCCAATCACTGGAATGATGATATAAACAAACAAACAAATAAGAAAACAAATAGGAAAATGTTTTTCCAAAGTTCAATGCCCTTTTCAATAAAATAAAATTATGATACTTAATAAATTTATTTTAATTTTCTTAAATAAAAAAAATCAAGTGGCTTTAAAATTCTGGCCAAACTCAAAGAGAAAAGAAGTGAAGAAAAAGAAAGGACACATATGTAATACCTTAATCAATAAAAATAAAAATAAAAAAGAAACACTAACAAAGAATAAAATATTCATTAAAATAAAGACTTCTCAAAATAATACAGTTTACTCATGTTTCAGTCCAGATCATATAACCAAACTTCATAATATCATAAATTATTTATAATTTTGAATGAAGAAAAACAATTTCTGACCTGGCCAGTTTGGCTCAGTGGACAGAGCATTGGCCTGCGGATTGAAGGCTCCCAGGTTTGATTCCAGTCAAGGGCAGATGCCCAGGTTATAGGCTCAATCTCCAGTGGAAGGAGTGCAGGAGGCAGCCGATCAATGAGTCTCTCTCATCATTGATGTTTCTATTTCTCTCTCTCTCCCTTCCTCTCTGAAATCAATAAAAATATATTTTTTTAAAAAAGAAAAACAATTTCTGTTTCTCTTCAACCCAATGGCTTTATCATATTCTGTTTTCCCAGATGACCCACTGTAGGAAGAGATACCATGCCTTCTATGTATGGTTTGATAGACTGGTGGGAGGGAAGGGAGTCATTTCAATATATTCATTTCATTGCCAGTTTTTAAATAAAGATTTAACTCTCAAATCTATGTGTATAATTATTATCTTCACCCATTCTCCTTTAATATATCTGCTCTCGAAATTTTTAGAAAACATTTAGTTTGATTTTAAAATATTAAAAAAATGTTTTCAAGTGAAATTATGTGTTTGGTATCATTAGTAACCATAAGCTGGTTGAAACTATATTTTAAAATTATTTTCTCACTGAGGCTATTACTATGCATGAAGTTTCACTTATACAGTGCCACGTAGCCAGTTTTACAAAGATGATTCTTTGTCAGGCACATGAGAATTGTTTCTGGGATATCCACTGTGTGCTTTCTGCTCTAGAAACACCTACTTAACCACAACAATGTGTGTAAGAAGTCTTCAAAAGCACATCTCATCTATGTTTCCACATTCTTCTCCTATATTTTTTATATATTTTTATTGATTTCAGAGAGGGAGAGGGAGAGAGAGATAGAAACATCAGTGATGAGAGAGAATCATTGATTGGTTACCCTTGCATGCCCCATACTGGGGATCAAGACCATAACCTGGGCATGTGCTCTGCCCAGAAATTGAACTGTGACCTCCTCATTTATAAGTCAATTCTCAACCACTGAGCCACACTGGCCGGGCTTCTCTGATTTGATTTGAAATTGCCTTTGACTAGAGGACCATGTGTTCATATTTGTCCTGATATCCTTATAAACAACATTCCTTTCACTCTTAAAAATGTCTCAGATTGTATGATTAATTATATGTTGACCCCCATATCAAATCCGCAGGTAACAAATCCAGGAATATTGGTCACTGGAAAGTAACTATCCTGGAAAGAAATAGATGTAAATTCTCAAAGTTCAAACTTAACTAGTATCTACATTTTGGATCAAAATATATCAGGAATATTTTCTTAAGTTTGGGGGAATAAGCAAGCATAAGCTATCATAATAATAAACCCAGCATTATTCCCTATGTTCATTAGGCAAATATGATACTGATATTGGTGACATGAAAATTACCTCCATACTTCGACAATAGCATTGATCGAGTTCTTTCTGCTATATATGCACATAAATCCCCTTGACATCAACCACCGATTATTTCAACAAAAAGGAAAATAACTTGATTTATTGACAGACGATAGAAATTTTGCTACAATATATTAGGCAGTGTGTAGCAATAGATATTTTAATCTAGAACAGCCTCATCACTTAATCATACAGATGAGCAGAAATATATAGTTGATGATAAATCTAAACCTCTGAATACAATGAAGTCAGCTCCTTGAGGATGCTGTTTAGGCCATTGAATTAGAAAGCTCTAGGCTGGACTTACACCAACGTAAACAGTGAAGTATTAAATGTATATTGACTACATTCAGTGCAATTCTCCTTTTCTTTAAAGTGCTGTGTTAGAAAATGTCTTTGAAGTATAAGCAATGTGGATGGGAAACTGTTTGATTCTGTAGGATAGTTTTTGTGAAGCAGGCCTGCATAGCATCAGCATTTCATTGTCAGTTTGCTGTAATGACGCCTTTTCAAACACAGTGACCCAAACCTTCCCTGTGCCTGCTGCAGTTTCCCCTATTACATTTTCCCATTACATTGCCAGGATCCTTTTATTCCATACTTCTCGAGATAATTCTTTGATTCTATCTCAAAATGTTTTGGCCCCTTTTTCTTCATCCTCATAGCCTCCAATGTGCCTTTTTTTGTAAAATCAGATTCCTCCCAGTGTACTGTGACCATCTCTTTTTACTTGTATAGTAGTAGATTTCTGTCTCATAATTATCCTTTCCACTTACGGCTTGAAAAGCTATTCCTCTTACTCTCCATATTTTGAAGTATTAAGCACATGTACATTATAGTATCTATTTCAAATATAGACAAAGGTGATCTGTATTGCTTAGGGGCATATACTAAAAGAGGTAAACAAAGAGAAGCGAGGAGACAATAACAATAAAAGTAAGACTAGAAGTTGCTTTTTATTTATCACAACAATACTTTTAATTTCTGTTCCAATCTCCACATCAGCCCAGTTTGGAGAAGGAAGGAATCTACTCAGTAAATCTATGAACATCTAAGCCATTCACAGTTGGGGTCCTAGAGTTCCATAAAGTCATGTGATCTCCATTTTCATCATCAAAATAACATTAAGATCAACTAGTAGTAGATTCAGTAAGCTTTCTTTTTTAAATTTCTTAATTTTTTATTGTTGAAAGTATTACAGAGGTCCCTCTTTTTCCCCATTGACCCCTTCTAACCACCGCCCTCCACCCCAACACACACACATCGCCCAGGCCTTCACCACACTATTGCCTGTGTGTATGGGTTGTGCATATATGCATACAAGTTCTTTGGTTAATCTCTTCCCATTACTTTTTAGAAATAAAGGGTAAAAGGAAAGTTTCTCAGGTACCGGGTATGTTCTTAATTACAGATTACCTGACCCAGTGTTTGTTTTACAACCACTTAAAGCACATATAATTAGGATTGCCAAATAAAATAAAGTATATCAAAATTAAAAAATAAACAAAATGCAGTATAAAAATATGAATTTCAGATTAAAATATATTTTTTAACTAATGAAGCAGAATGTGGTAATGGGAACATCATGACCTTTGATGTGAGAAGTCATAGATTCTGGTCTAAGCTTTCCCACCTGCCACTTGTGCAATCTTAGGCTTAGATTGTAGAAATTCCTGTGAGCACTCTTCAGTCTCAGTTTTCTCATGTTTAAAATGAGCAAAGCCCCAGCAACCAGTTGAAAAGATTAAGTAAAGACATCATGTAAAGAACAATGTGCCAACTGAAAAATTCCTAGGAAATCTAAATTATATACAGATAAAATAACACCTTTGCAGCTTGATAGAAAATGCAATTGTTAATGGATGATGCTATTTTTCTAAAGGAAAATGGACAAAAGAGATCAACCATGTGAAATATCCCTGCTTTGGTTTCCAACAAAGCATCAAAAGTACAGGATTTATGGCAGAAACCCCTTTCTATTTTACAGAAACTTAAAATATCCTGTTGCCCAGCCAGTGTTGCTCAATGGTTGAACATCGACCTATGAACCAGGAAATAGAGGTTCAATTCCCAGTGAGGGCACATGCTTGCGTTGCAGCCTCAATCCCCAATAGGAGGCATGCCGGAGGCAGTGGATGGAGGATTTTCTCTCAACATCGATGTTTCTATCTCTCTGTCCTTCTCCCATCCTTTCTGAAATCAATAGAAATATGTATTTTTTTTAAAAAGGATTTAAAAATAGCCTGTCTTCAGTGTAGCTCTCTAGAAAAACTAAGTATCTGTAGGTAGATCCACACACCATCATTTTTCTAGTCAAAATTTCATATTTCATTTCCATCATCAGTTTCTCTCTGTGTAAACACTGAATGGCTATATAGCAATCCCAAATGCATAAGCCTGGCAAATGAGAACACTGTGGCATTCTAGAAAAGATCATAAATTCCTAATGTTTTATAAGGGTAACTATTTTTTTAATTATTTGTGATATTTTAAAAAAACAAAAAACAAACCTTGAGGTGTTATTCAGAGAGTGCAAAGATCAGGGTTGTGTTACAATGCAAGCCTGAATGGGATGTAGTTGATGACAAGGGTTGGAAATTGCTGATGTCAAATCCCCACCAATTCCCTCTTTTTTTCCTCTAATTCTTCCTTCTCTTTACTCAGCGATTGTAGTACTTTTTATCACCCTGAGACGCAGCAAAAAAGAGCCCTTGATCATTTCAGAGGAGGATGTGCGGGAGAATGTGGTCACCTATGATGACGAAGGGGGCGGGGAGGAAGACACTGAGGCCTTTGACATCACAGCCTTGAGGAATCCGTCTGCAGCTGAGGAGCTCAAGTACCGGAGAGATATCAGACCTGAAGTGCAACTCACGCCCAGACACCAGACATTGTCCACCCTGGAAAGTATAGATGTTCAGGAATTCATCAAACAGAGACTGGCAGAAGCTGACCTAGACCCCAGTGTCCCTCCTTATGACTCTCTTCAGACTTATGCCTATGAGGGTCAGAGATCAGAAGCTGGTTCTATCAGCTCCCTGGACTCAGCCACTACACAGTCCGACCAGGATTATCAGTACCTTGGGGACTGGGGACCAGAGTTTAAAAAGTTGGCTGAACTCTATGGAGAAATGGAATCTGAAAGAACAACTTAGGGGGGCCATTCTTTCAACATTCTAGAATTTGCTGCCTGAGCAAGTGAAGACATAACCTCAGCCATGACAAGGAAGAAGTGTGGGAACAGTACTTGGAACTGAGCAAGCTGTACACAGCCACTGTAGAAACAAGTGCCCTTTTCATGATCGAAACTGGGTTATTTAATCAGAGGAAAGTCAAATTAAACAAAACAACACAAACAGAGAAAAAGCTATTGTACCTTGTGTATATTTTCAATTGCTCAATAAAGTCTGTGGTACTGTTTACTTAAGAATACCTGGATTCAACCAAACAGTGATATTCGTTTCAATACCTTGTGATTTTTTTTCCCCAAAACAAAACGAAGTAGAAAGGTCCAAACTCACTTATGATTGATTTCTAGGGGTGGTTCACTGCAGAATAAAACTTGAGAAGGTAATCAAGACCTCCTTGTCCACTTTTCTGGGTGGACTTTTGAGACCCACGTTCTGTTATTGTGACAGAGCTCATTAGCTTCGTCTTATGTTTAAGTGACGTGAGAGATACCCAGTCTACTAGGCCACTCTGTCACAGACTTGTACGGGCCATTTTTCTTTGCCCTCCCCACTTCTTTTCTCCATACGGAATGGATGGAGCATGGGGATTTGCTGCTTGCACTATAATGTATGCAATTTCTGTGCACGGACTGTGCACCGCTCTGAAGCAGAGACGGTTGTCTCTGTCCCACAAGCTCCCCTTTATTTTCAAAGAAAAAAACCACTTTTTATTAAATTGATAAAATGAATGGTTTACGGTAGGCTCAGATAATCTGAAATATCAGGGAAAGATTTAATCTAAAAAGTAGCTATAAACCTCACCCTGTTCAAACCTTTGGGGAACTCTATTTCTCCCTCCCTCCTGGTCCCCATTGGTTTTAGTATGTTTAAATCAGCAGATTTGATCATTCCTGTAACTAAAATTAGTTGTCAGAAATTTTGTAATTTGTTTATACTTCAGTACAGTTGGCTTACTTATGGCATGGGCAGTCATCGAAAATATATACGTCGCCAGATAAGAATGTAGTCCGAAAAGATTATCCCCAATACCTTATAGACTTAAAATTGACTTTTATTCCTTCCATAGGTTCAGATTTTTCCCATCTCACTGACTGATTAGCCCTTATATGCTTGGGATCTGCAGGAAAATATGTAAGACTAGGAGCAAACAACAATAAAGGAGATTCACACGTATTATTCTTGGAGATGTCCCAAAGTTTCTGAGCTTTAGGGTTCGAACTGTAAAGATGGCTTTCCTCCCTACCTCACAGGCTTATGTGAGGATCCATAAGTATCTGCAAAAATGCTTTGCCCACGACAAACTGTTTTGTTACATAAAGGCTTGCAGATACCATCTAATTTTCTAATTCCATTGGCATATAAATGTATAGTTGCATACGTTTTGAATAAAATGTATTATGGGAGAATTGCATAAACCTTCAACAGTGAAGCAACTTACTAACTACACATATAATAAACAGGTTTAGTTATTTTAATATTTTTCCAAATCAACTAATTTTCTTAGAATTTCTTTGGGGTTTTGCACCCAAATTGTTTAGATAATATTTATGGTTGTTGCTATTGATCTTGAGATAACAATTCATAGCATAGGGTCCTTTTAGCCAAAAATGACCACATTTATGTATTAATTGAAATCCACAACGAAGAATAATTTCAAGGGGGTGTTCTTTTGTTTGCTCTTCAAATTGATCATATTCTAGTGTCCTCAAAAGCTCTATGACACTTTCTGTCTGATTCTACTTATGTGCAAAACTTTGAATATTTGCCTCTGTTCGTAACCGCCCTGTGCTTTCATATTTCAGTTTTGAGGTATGGGAAGTAAGTTTAATTTGAATAATTCTCAATTTGTGTTTTAAGCCTGAGGAATAAAATGTAATTTAATTTTTTATAACATTTTAACTTTCCAGATACTACTTTATCGCTTTTTTATACCACATCAGTGCGTTCTGGCAAAAAGCTCAATCAAAAGAGACACTCAGGGGCATTGGGGAATAACTTCTGGAGGTACCTACTCTGATTATGGAAATGTTGGGTCACACTCATCCCGAAGGAAGGGTCAACCTTGGGGAGAATTTTATGAATCCTGGTATTTTGATTTTCCTATGCAAAGAGGACCAGGAAGGCCAGGTTTCAGGAGTCCAGTAGGCTTTTGGATTTAGACTTGATAAACCATCCACAGCTTTTGTTTTGTTTTATATTGTTTTGCTCGTTTGTGTCTACTATTCACCCAGTAACTTTACAAATGAGGATTTGAATGATGAAAATGTATCTGTATGTATAAACATTTACATAAAAGCCAAGGGTCTCTTTCTAAAATATTTCCCTGCTTTTGTAGAAAAAAACCGGCCAGATCCGTCTAATTTTTAATTGCACATGCTAATGATAACGGATTGCTTCTAAGTCCCTGATATAAAATCTAATATGGAGGCAAAATGGAGCCACTGTAGTATTGAAATATTGTTTCTATGTTGATTTCTTTTAGAATTTTATTAATGAAAGCATTACAAACATTATTTTTATATGACCTCTGAAAGTAGGCAATTATATTATTATCATAAGGATGTATTGGGTCTCATTTTTTATTCTGCTACTTTTAGTAAAACACACACACACACAATAATGATGTATAAATGCTTTGCAAATGCACTGAAATAATTCAACATTCAATACCTTGCTTTAAAAACTCAAGTTTATCAGTGTTAGGAGACAATTCTCAAAATGTTTAGTGAGCAAAGAGTTGACACATCAACTCTGAGCATTCACTAACCATGGATAATCAACTCTGGAACCATATATGATTTCATATGGAATCAGCTATGGAATCACTAATGTGCTCAGCACATTTTGTATGTCATAATATATTCATAGATCTAAATAAAATATAACTTTGAAATAAATTTACTTCTTTCTAATAAGATATTTTTTTTTACCCACAGAGGCAACACTAAATGGTGACTGCTAAGTAGAGGAAATAGAAATTGTTATAATAAATTTTTATCCAAGATTTTCTTATGCTAATTTATAAATTCCAATATTCTTTGTGAAAACAGTAAAACATTAATGGATCTTGCAGAAATTGCTAAACATCTACCATCAGAAATTATTTCTATAAAAAATCTGTACAAAATACAGATTTAAAGATGCGAATGAAGAGGGAATTTTCCCTAAGAAAAGCCTCTATACAAAGTTAAATTGTGACTTTCCTAAAACATGGTACAAGGAGGAAAATATTTTGGGAGAAATTGCATTGACTTAAACATGCATATATGTGCGCACACACACACACACACACACACACACACACACATAACTCTTCTTGGAGAATATTGGAGAAGAAAGGAATATTTATAATAGTGGCTTGGATATTGATATGACCCAAATACAAGAAGTATACAAACCTTTAGTATACAGCACGTGGAAAATTCAGGTAGAATTTAATGGGCAGTTTTTGACCTTCATTTTGTATCCAGCTTCAGCCTAACTTTCAGTGCTGTCAAAGATTGAAGCTGATTCACAGAGGTGGTTACAAAGAACAAAATTATCAAGCAGTAATAAGTCATTATTTTAGAAGTGATTTAATGGTCACAGTGCGGCTATTAAATAGTAACACGCTCTTTGACTTATATGCTTAGCGTAATGCAATGTAGTCAAAAATCTGGGTAGAAGGAGAGACTCATATTGGGTCCAACATTCTTAGTAGCAATATGGAAAGATTAAATATACCACTGCTCATTGTTTTGTTTGTATAGACCTGCACTGATGAGTGTAGCTTGTTTTCTTTTTGTCTGGTTTAGCTGAATACATAGAGAAAACAAGCAGAAATGTAGGTAGACCATTCATTTGAGCAACCATCAAAAATCAGCAATTAACTGATCATGGTAATAAGTATAGAAGGATGTGCATAAATCCAATGCCTTTTTGGGATAACTTTTCATCTACTTATTAGTATGGATAGTACTTGATCAGCTTTTCAATAAATCAGAATTCTAAAGCTACATATTCTGGAAAGAGGGAAGAATCCTAAGTTTCAAACTTAAATTGTACTTAGTTTCAAGATTTGGTAACATTGAATTAAGTTACTTGGCTTTCAATTTTAATAGAATAAACCTCAGAACAGTTGTTGAGAGATCTGACTCATATTCAAATTTCCTTTTTTTGACCCTTTAGGGAGAAAGACAATTTAAATATTATTTGAAGGAAACAAGACCATTTCAACTTTTATTTTCTACCTCATCTGCTCAAGGTAAATCTTTTTGTTCTATAGGATTAGGAATCTCACAAACTATACAATCTGAAGTAGTTCACAAGCATTTGACTAGCATAACCAGCACAGAACCCACTCACTTTTTCAAGGATTCCAAATACATAATTTAAAGATAAAAATATCAGTACCAATGATTTTAACATTTGGAAATAAGTGTCCTTGCTTTGATTTATATCAATGAAATATGTAGTTTTTTGATTAAGGAAGAGATGAGAGAAAAAATAAATCATTTTTTCACGAAGTTCCAAAACATGCTTTTAAGTTAGTGAGTAAGAATTATACCTTTTCACTTCACTGAGTTTATGGAAATAAAGGACTTTTGCCCTTCAATACTACAGAGACATCAAACATATTTTAGTAATGATCCATTTTTTTAAAGTCTTGGGTGAAATTAAATGGAGAAAATAGTCACTCAAGGATTCTTGAAATTATATCCTGTGAGGAAGGTATGCAGTTTATAATTTAAAATGAGTTCATTGGATGGTTCGCATGTGCCCTGACTGGTATCAAACGGTGTGATCTTCTGGTTCATGGGTTGATGCTCAATCACTGAGCAACACTGACAGGATTGCATGGTTTAGTCTTATTGCCCAGCAACATTAGCTTTGGAAATAAGAAAATTGGGCCACAATAGTTAGTTCCACCTTAATAATTTTAACAAGCATTTTTTCTTATGTAAAAATACTGTAAATTCTTAATCTAAATCATCTACTGGCATTTTCAAAGTGCTATTTCGGATGCCTAAATTTCCAAAAAAAAAATAATGTATTCTAACCCTTATGATTTGACTAAGGCCCTCTAAATGTGCACTATATTTAAGATACTATTCCAAGCCCTGAGAGAGATGGAAAAAAAGTCTTGGCGACTCTATTCTCAATGAAACTATTAGAGTCTCACTTGAGAATTAAGACCTACATGTAAAAACTGTAAGCCTATAAGCTATATAAAAGAAAGCAAAAGTGGAATGTGTTCTACAATATGTTGGGATAAAAATGGTAGGAGAGATACAAGAGCACCTTAAGGCCATGCAGCTCTTTTAGTATCCACCACAGGGGGAATGAGACACGTCCAAAGGAAGTAGAAGCAGAGCAAGAAGTTTCAGCAAATGTCCAAAGGGTGATTATTCTATGTCAAATAGATAATTTATTGCAGGTAAATCACATAAGTTGTTAAGAAAGTTGAATTTAGATTGAAGATGACTGAATGGAACTTAGTCTCTAACCAGTCTGAATATCATTGAGATTATTTTTCCCAAAAGCAGAAAAGTGGGCATGGCCAGACTTCTCTTTTAGAAATCTGAATTTTTCATTAATATCTCTCATTTAGTAAAGACAGATTCCAGAGTTTTGTGTACCTACAAAGAATAAGTAATATTTGGCTATTTTAATTATTTTCAAAAGATAATTACTTATTTTAGGAGTCCATCTGGAGAAGGTTTAAAAAAAATGTCATCGGTAATATATATTTCAGGCATGGAACACTTAATTTTATCATTTTTATCCTAATAAAAATAAGTTAAAATGAAGGCAAGAAACATGCTTTTAAGAATAAAATTTATTCTTAACTATATAAATGTGTTTAATTTCTAGAATTATACTTTTAAGTATAAAATATTTTTGAAGTAAAAAGAAATAATATTAAAATACCAAAGAAAAAATTGATGCCTTATTAAAACTATACCATTTATTTTTAATATATATTATTTTAATACTCTACACAAAAGATGGCACGTGTTTTCGTGTTTCATTATATAAAATTACACATGAATTTATTTTCAAATGTAGCTATCATACAGCATGAAGATTCAATGACTTGTTAATATCACAAGTAGATTTAGCCTGAAATCCCTACTTTTATGTCTTCTGTTTCTCACTTTTTCTTTTTTGACATTTACTTGCCTCATTTTTTTTACAATGAAAAGCTATATAAGAGCAATTTCTATATTTCATGTATTTTTCAGAACAAATTTAAGAAAAATGTTTTTCAGAAATAGAAAGTAGTTATCATGTTGTTTTCAGGGTTTTGTTTTCAATGCATTTCCTCCCCCTTTGTCACTAATCATGCTCTTCCTCACAAAAAATAATAAAAGAAAATTGCATTCAGAAAAATACTCTGTGGAAGTCACTTTCCTGTGAGCTTGAGGTTTCATTCCATGATGTGATTTGGTTTTGTAGCTCTTGCAACACTGTGGGTTTCCAATCTCCTATAATCCATCCTGTCTTCATTCTTCCAAAGACAGCTGGCAGGAGAAGCCATTGTTGTTCATGTTAAATTTATTTCAAAAGGCTTTGATGATCCATTTCATAAGACATTAAAATCAGAAGTGATATTAAAAGTGTTTTACTTTTTACAAAGCATTTTTAATATCATGTTTTAAAATTTAAAGTATAATTTTCAAAAAATAAGTATTATTTTATTGATACCCTTTCCTTCACTTAAAAGAAAACTTAGAATTTTTTTCAAGAACAACCAACATTGAATAAGTCTCCCAGATTTCATCACCTGTATTACTTTTCCAATTGCACATAAATTTCATATTAATCACACAATGGTAATAAATGGCAATTAGCCTATCGATAAAAGACCAACTTAAAAATTACTTTCAAGCATATCTTTTAGGTTAG